ATAAGAGACTTTCTCATATTAATTCTGCTGCATAACTAGTTGTGCACTGGAGTACACAGTTCTGCAATTGCAACTAACTAAGAGAAAGCGAGACAAATTTCAATGTACTAATGTAGAACCTCAAAATATGAAGCACTGCCGTAATATACCTTGTTCATTAATCTGCTCTGCAATCATAATTCTGCAAGATTCCGGTGAGGAGCGACCACTGCCTCAATACCCATTTGGTTCAATAAAAGTGCTGGTGTCGTAGTCCCGATAAGTAAATCTAGGTTTAAGTTAACGTTTCAGCAAATACTTAACTGGTAGCACGGAGAATCGAAACTCTGTTTAAACTAAGGTACTTTTGAAACTACTGGAACGGGGAGGAGAACTTGCTTGCTCATCAAATAACCCAAGCTCTCCAAATTTTTAGAGTCTTGCAAACTGCAAGAAAGACATTCCTAGATTCCTTGCACTAGCATTTTATAAAGTTTTTTTGAAAGACATTAACAATGGTGGAAAATACGAGTATGACTACAAAAAAGGGATTTAATTTAGTAAAATTCCTAAGCTCCCACAATGGGCAAGCACAAATGCGATAGAAACGTCGAACGTTTTACAATTTCTAAGTGCCAAGTATGTTAATGAATCCAAAGCTAAGACGTGAACGCGCAATCTGCACACGCATGAGTCCATTTGGGTTAAATCGCATAAACTGCTTAAATAAAAGTTAAAGATATGAAATGACAAAAGCGTTCTAGCAGCTTCTTTCTGAAACATCATTTATGCTGACAAATTCCAATCCGTATATTGACTTTCCTCGACCAACCCTTCATAAAACCGTTGCTATAGGAGGGATCACCGTTTCCGCTGACTTAAGGAGAAATAGGCTTCCCGAGGTACTTTTATGTCAGTTTTATACAGCTAGGCACGAAGCGATAGGCATTAGCTTACAATCGTTTTCAGAAATGGGATACGATTCTTAATGAACGCAATCACACGGTACTGGTGTCCTTTGGTTCGGTGGCAAAAGCAGTTTACATGCCTGATAAATATAAGTGGGTTTCATAAACCACAGTTTGTTCAAAAAATCGTCCATGCCACTCAGTAGAGCATTTGTGCAAAGGAAGCAGAGACAAAAATGCACATTGCTTTCTTCAGGAAAACGTTGTTGAAAGTCTTTGAAAGTATGCCCGACACAACATTCATAATGAAATATGAAGAGGAAAAAGACACGTGGGCAGATCACCTTTCTAATGTTCATCTCGACGTTTGGCTTCCTCAACATGCCCTTCTTGGTAAGTGATGCGATATAAAAAGGTTGTCTCTGTTAGAGAAGTAAGCAAAAACAGAAGCAATTACAGCAACACAGCAATGAATTAGGACCATGTTAGTACACAATTTTCAAATGTATTTATATAACATACACACAGTGAAACTGCCTTATAATTTATACTTGTGCATTATTATTTTATGATTCTATTTTTTGTCATTTTTCGCTCTGTACATGATTTTTTAACGTCGTTGATCCACTTATTATATGGTCAGCAGCTTATCGCTATTTTGAGCTTTCATAGGATATATACCCTCTGTTTGAGTCGTTTCACTGTAGGTTCACTGTAACCATGTTGAAAAGGGTCAACCCAGTAGTTGAGAATGGACTGATCCGTATGTAGTATCGAAAAGAAGGCTTGTTCATTTTAACTCACCGATTTTGCTGAAAGCAGCTAGGTTCGCATCTTTTAAAGAAGTTATGAAACACTACCCGTAGCGCAACATGCATATGTAAAAAATTAAGAAAACGCCCCTGATACAAAAAGTTTCTTGTTATTA